CATTTAACTGATAAAATGTGAACACGTGAATTCTAGTTCACAATACACCCACATTTTTTATTGCAATTTCACTGAACTGTTTATGTGCACAAAATGGGTAACAGCACTTAATCGAGAGGAGGCTATGAGCTGAACTAAAATGGAACTACTGCAGCATGGTAATAGAATCTTCAGCATGCAATGAACTCAACATTTAAAAATCCAACATGGCCTTCAAATGCTAGAAAAAAGAAGGACTCAAGATCAACTGAAAAGACACATAATGTAAAAATTAAAAGAAAAATTAAAACATAAAACACTGATAAAATTCAAGAATATATAAACAATAAAAGACATCTTTAGATCAATTTCAAGACCATTGCTCCAAGAGGTCAGGGGGTACCCTAAGAACAGGCCCAAGGGAAAATTTCACGAGTAAAAAGTTGAGAAATGATCCCAGATGCTGGAGCTCACAGTCAAGGCCTAGAAGTTCTAATAGACTTGAAAGATGAGAAAATGCCTTGGATGTTTGGGATGTTTAAAATTTTTTAAAAAGTCAACAAAAGAAAGGAGTTCACCTTAAAGAGAAGAGGCACAGGTCCAGGGGAGAAGAAACAGGACAGGGCTGGCTCCAGAGATTAAGACTGAATCTGAGTGTGGAAAAAATATTCTACTCTAAGGACATCTATTAAGACAGGAGGACGGGCTCTGATTTAAAAACAATGACAACAACGCTGGCCTGAGGTGAGGAGCAGAGAGAGAACAAAGAACAGGACAGCCATAGAGGGCGGTCACAGACAGACAGAACCCCCAGAGGACACCAGGACCTAGAAAAAGGCAAGGCCATGCCAGAGGACCCAACTCTCAGAAGGGCCAACCAGTTCTAAGAAAAGCATGCCCTGAGCAAGGAAGGAAATAAGAATCTTTAAAAATGATTTTTAACAAGAAAATAGTCAATGTCCAAAAATAATGCACCATGCACCAACTCTGCAGATCTCTCTCTCTAGTGCACAGGTGGCAAACACAGGCCCAAGTTCCAAATCTGGCCTTCCACCTTGTTTTATCCAGCCTGGCACCCTGTTTCTAACCCGGCACCTTGTTTCTAACTCGTAGGCAGTGTCAAGCTCTTGCTTAACTGTTAAGTAGTCACATTTATAGTCCTAAAGCCACATTCCACCCTTTGAAAGCAACTGCAAGGCTGATGTGGCCGCTGGTGAAAATGAGTTTGACACCCCTGCTCTGGTGAATGCTTTTTCTCCTCTTCAAAATCAAGTTTTAGAAAGAAGTGCCTTCGTTGGCTGGCTACACACACACACACACACACACACACACACACACACACCCCTGCTGCAGCACCACTCACTCTTTAATCCATAGCAACAAGGTATGTGTGAGACTCTTCTTGCTAAAACCAGTTATTACATTCTAGAGTTAAATCCAATGGTAACTTTGAAACCACTATCCAACTGGATCTCTCTCCAGCACTCTCTCCCTCTGGATTCTTTAACATGCTCAAATCCCTCCATTTAAAAACAGAAAGAAAAAAATGGGATTCCCCTTTACCTCCTACAGCACCACAACCACATTTCTTGAGTTGCACAGGTTCACTGGCTCAACTTTCTTGTTCCCACTCACTCTTACACCCTCTTACAAACTGGTCATCTCGCTCTTATTCTCATCACTGTGTTGCCACTGCCGTCACCTATATTACTAATGACCCTCTGACTGTTTTTACTGAGAGTCCTTACTGAGGTTCTCCAGGACCATGGTTTTCAAGACCTCATTTACACCTCCCCAGCCCCACCCTTCTCAGTCTCAGCATGGGGGCCTACCATCCTGTAGCCTACCTTTCAGACACAGCAGTGCCTCAGATCCCACTCTCCATCACTGCTTTTCGCAGTCTTTACATGCTTCTTAAATATCTCATCTATCCCAACAACCTCCATAACAAACAGGCAAAGGCGGTGGTTCTAGAAGTCTCTCTGTCCACTGCACAAGGAATGGTTATTGAGTAACAGAATCATAGATAAGTCCAAATAAACTTAAGTATTTATGTCCTAACAATTTTAGTACCCATTTGGGGAAAAAAAAAGAAAAAGCACACTTCAACTGAGCGAAAAGTGTTTTTATTCCATTTTTAATACACCACAAGTGCTTACTAATGGTATAGGTACATGTGTTGAACACCTCACAACTTCTCAGACTGGATATCACCGCCTTCACTTCCTGTTCCACACTGATTCCCACACATGGAACAGCAACCATCTGTGGGAATCAGTGTGGAACAGGAATGGAGTGGAATGGAGTGCAACCTATTGGAGAAACTGCTAACTACCCTGAACTATTAGTTCCCAAGGGTTGGACAGATGTTACACAATGCTGGGTATCCTTCAACAATTTAATACCCTGTGGTCTCCCTGTGGGTTCACTGCAGTGCCTCAGCAAAGACTAGAGACTATGGTGCTAAGAATTCTCAAATATGTGCCCAGTCCAGACATCTCCTGATGTCTGGATCCCTAATCCAGAACCCTAATGTAGCCAACTGAATAATATGTCCTACAAACACCTTAAACTTAGAAAGGCCAAATGTAACCAATCATCTTTTCCCCCTGAATGGCTGCTGCTCCTGCTCCCTAAGGACAGCACCATCACCCACTCAACCATCCAGCCAGAACTCACTACTGCCCTGAACTAGGCCCTCCTTTTAACTCCCTCATATTGCACACATACTCTCAATCAACAACCAAGTCCTAGCAATTCTACCTCCTCCCGTATCCCTCCTTCCAGTATTGCCCCTTCTATCCATTATCCAAGGCAAATTTGATCACATTCTTCTTTGGTGCAGAATTCTTCAACTGTTTCCTATTGTTCACTAAGGGGTCCTTATAATAAGAATCACAAGTCCCTAAATGGCATGGCCCTTAGTTACTTCTCCTGTCTCATTTCCTGCCACTTCCCTGGCCTTGCACTCCATGGCACCACCAAACTAAATTGTTTTCAGTTGCTCCAATGCACCATGTCCAGTTAACAAGCCTTTGTACATGCTCTCCTCTACCTAGACTTTGATCAATTCCTTCTCATACTTCTCTGGAAGCTTTTCTTATCTCTCTGAATAGTCCCTAAGCTTGGGTTTGCAGTCATCCTCTGAGCTCCTGTGACTAGCCCCTTTACACTGCTTTGTAGTCAATGGTTAAATCTGTCCGAGAGCAGAGCTGAACAGTCAGTTCATCTGGGGCTCACAGAAATATCACCTTGTTTATCTTTGTATCCCCAAAACGTATGATAAACTCTGAATTCTCCTGAATGAACAAAGCAGGTGTTTGAATGGATTAAGTCATTCAGGTGATGATCCCACACCCCTCACTGTTTCCTGACTATCACAGCACTCACTGCACTAGACAGAAATTGTGTCTGCGCAGACTGTGAACATCTTAAATTAAGCTCTCATCTCTTCTTTTTGCAACCCCAGTATTAACATAGTGTCCAGTACTTAGCAGGAATTCACTAAATATCTTCTGAATAAAAAAGGTTATTGAAAAAATTCTGGAAGGCTATACTCCGGGTATTAAGAGTGGCTACTTCTAGAGAAGACACAGGACAGCAATATGAAAGGGAACTGAGACTTTTTACTCCATGAATCATGACAGTGATGTTAAACTTATTTTACAATATATATTATTTACGTATTACTAGTATGCAATACTCCTATATTACCTGTGTAAAACTAAGTCATGAGGGGAAAAAACAGTCCTGAAGAAGAATGTATGGACTGGAAACAGCATTTGGTTCTAAATGCCCAAAGCAGGTCCCAAGAAAACCTGACCTCAAAGAGAAATAGAAGGTATGAAGAAAAAAAAAGACTAAATGAGAAGCTGAGAATTTAAGTAAAGGTTTATATAGCATATGGAGTCACTCCCAAGAAAATATAAGAAATGATATCAGCTTTTGAGGGGGAAACACTCTGAATATTCTTACAAGACAGTTCTCAGAACTCTACAAGAAGACCACTGGTAGTGGCCCACTAGTACAGAAAATTCTTTACAAACTTATAATGGCAATGGTTTTAATGGAAACATTCCAATAACCAAATGGATACCTACTTGCCACATACAGGTTCCCATGGTAAGTATAAAGTATGTCTGCAAAGACACACTGAGAATACAGAGAGGAGGCTACAATGTTGGCATGGCCACACTAGCAAAGTGAGTCCCACCGTTATTTTCCAGATTTTTAAAAATAGTGTAACACATCACTGACTATTAGGTCATAATTTTAAAGCAAACAATTAAAACAATGCTACAGAGCAATTCCAGGTCAGCAACTGGAAGTGCAAGGATAATTTTTGTATGTACATAGTTCTAGAACAAGCTTCTTCTCACTAACAGTGAATACAGGCCAGACAGTAAATATATAAAGTCAGTCAAACTTTCCATCCTAATGAACTTTCAACATCTGAAAACACAACTTCTGTGAATATAAATTAAGAGCTTTAAAAATGAAAAAGAAAATCTACACAGACACTATTGGGAAGGAGACCAGACACCTTAAGAACTGCCTATGGGAAAGGTCAAACCCAGCTTTCTTTTGTTTAACCTCTCAAGTAGATAAAAGAACTAGCTTTAAAGAATCACTGCATTGTTTCACAGCTAGAAAAGGAAAGTTGAGTAAAGCATATACAAAAGGAGCAACCAACTTTCAATAGAATTTGCCCTAGAGGTAATAGAAAAACAAATCAATTATAACACTTTGAACTTAGTTTTGATAGAAAGCACACATTTTAAATTTTAGACAAACATAATTTTTAAAATGCAAAATATTTCAACCCCTTCCCCTTAAAAATGAGATTCCAAATCTTACATTAAAATTTCATACCCTGTTATGCATTTGACTGGGACAACTTCAAAGCAAAAACTGGCCTTCTTAATTTTCAGTTTCTAAAAACTCAAAAATTATTGCTGGCAGTAACTGCGATTTTTAAATTAATCTCCAAGTGAGAAAGAATTCCTTCGCCGCCCAATGGCATGACGAAAAGATGCTCCCACTCATCCCTAAAACCATCGTTTACTTTCTTAATAATTAAGAACTCTGCTCTCCACCAGGTAACTATCCCCTTGCAGAAAGGCTACGCCGAGAAGAAATCGCCATTGCCCGTTAAGTACCAGAGAGGGACAGGAAAAGATTTTCCACTAGCCGAATCTCCGTCGCAGAGGAGGCGTGAGAGCCAGGCGCCCCGGCCCCCACCGTCGCACAAAGTCTCCCGGGGACAATCCCTGTGGGCAAGGCAGCTCCCGGGAGCGCCGCCCTTTCCCCAACAGTGCAGTACGGTCCTCGCCGGTGCCCGACTCCTCCCCTGCGCTCAGACAGCCCAGCCTGGCTACTGAGGCCGGGAGCCCCGCGGGCCCGCAGCCCCGGAGAGGGGGCAGAGGGCGCGGGGGCCTTGGGACGCAGAGGCGCCGTGAAGGCAAAGGCGAGGATTGAGAGGGCCGGACCCCGGAGAGGAGAGCACGCGGCGCTGGGCCAGATGCGGGAGAGGACGCGCGGATCTGGAAGGGATGTGAAGGTCCCGGACGCGGGGCAGCTCCGGGCGTCGTGCGTGGGGTGGAGGCCCCGGCGCCACCTGCAACCGGGTACCGTGCACCGGGCAGCTCCGAGGCTGGAGGGCTGCAGGGCCGGGGGCCGGCGGGAAAGAGGACGGCCGCCAGGCAGAGCCGAGACGGCGGGAAGCTGCAGTCGGCGCGGGGGCCAGCGAGAACGATGCACCCGGGCTGCTGGGTAAGGCGTGGGGATGCGCCGCGGCCCGCAGCGGGCCCTGCCACCCGCTCGAGCGCACCCGGCGCGATGCAGCAACTTCACTTGGCCGCGGGGCTGAGGTGTCTGGCCCGCGCCGGTCCTCCCCCGGGGCAGCCGCACGGCTCGGAACGGAGCCGGACAGGGGCAGAGACCAGGGAGCCTGGCCGGCCGCAGACCATACTCACCCGTCCGCGGTGCGGACGCCAGCACCAGGGTTGCACTCCGAGCTCCATGGTCCCGCCGCGCCGCGGCCGCCCGGCACCTTTGCTTCGCACCACACCACACGCAGCGGCGCCAGCGACGCCGCCTCCGGCCCGGCCACGGCCGCGGCCACGCCCCCTCTCGGCTGGGGGCCCGGCCGGATCAAGAGGGGGGCTCAGCGCCATCTCCTCCAACCAGGGCCCGCTCACCAGGCCACTTCGTCAGGATTGGCGAGAACCTCAACCAATGGGAAAGGACAGGGGCTCGGAGCGTCGGCGGCGCCGAGGGGCGGGGGATTGCGGAGGAGGTGGCTCTCCCTTCGCCCTTAGCCACAGCGCGGAATAGGGTTCTGGCCGACGTCCCTTCCAGAGTGGAGTGGTAGGGCTACTTTGGGTGGAGTTTGTTACAGAGGCTTTCGTCTTGTCTCTGTTTGCGAGGAACCCATCCTGTGCAGCCCCTTTAAGTTTCCATCCACACTCTAATCTTACCTGGGTTTTGAGGGGCTGCGGGAAACAGCTGTATCGACTTGCCTGTTTTCAGGCAACCCTGAGAGGATTACAGCCGTGGCAGAGGTCGGTTCCCTGCCTTTCTCCAGTCCGTTAACACTGTGCCTACAAAGGCTTTACATCTCTCTCTACAGATGCTTCCCCTTTTCGTCACACCATCTCCAGTCTCCCTGCAGCCGGGATGTGAGAAAATCCACAGTATCTGTTACACATAGGATGTCCCTGAGACTTCCAACCTAACCCCCATGGCGATGGAACGCAGCCAGGCGATAGTTGATGACTCCGACAGAAATGAGTAAAAGGAGGGAGGAGGAAAGGGAAGGAAAAGGAAGGAAAGAAGACAGAAAAGCCACCGACGTTCTCCTAGGTCCTGAAGGAAAGGGGTTTAAAGGCACCAAATAAAAATGTTATCTTTGTTTTACTGGCATGCCTTCATTCTTGTTGATTTACAAATAAGATCACCACATCGAAAAATTAACAGGACAATAAGTTCCGATCAAACGTCCAAGAAAAACTAATTCAGGTTGTCTTGTCTTTACAGACCTGTGATAACTATCTGCATCTGCTCCAGCTAGTAACAGTCAACAACTAACAGCTGGCGGGGGCGGGGGGGCGGAATAGCATTTCATAGCAATTTTAGCAAAGGTGGCTTCATCAGAAACGCAGAAGAAAAATCATGCACTCCTCTTTATGTGTAATCAATTTGACCATGTTCCTTCCCAAAGGAAGGATTTTAAAAGCACTGTTTTAAGACAACATATACTTAGTTTCAATGTGAAATGTACTACTAATTAATAAGGTGAACAGGATTTTAGTAAATTATTACAGTGCCCTGAATTTTCAAATGTTGATACTAGAATAAACTCCTGCTGAACTGGCATTCAAAGTAAATTACTTTCCTTCATTTTTGTCTTCATTTACCCAAGGGAATAGTTTCCATGTCTATATTTAGGTCATTGATTTAGAACTGGAATATATGAAGGTATAGAATACCCGGAGTGAGTGTTCAGGGTTGCTAATCACATTTCCCTTCTTCTTCCCCGCTTGAGTGACCCAGCCTGAAAGTAACTGGCCCTACATTTCGTTCACCCACTATTGGCCCTTGATCCTACCATCCTGTCACTTTTATTTCTAATTAGATGATAAGTTCCATGAGGGTAAGGTCCTTCTTTTATATTCCTGTTTCCTCCCCCCATAATGCCTTACAGTGCAGAACATGTAGTAAATATAACTGTACTTAGTATTATTAGTATTATATTATGTAACTCTATCCTTGTATACCCATAAGATAAAAATGTTCAAATACAGTACTTCTTTGAACTTTAAATAAAAGTTGCCCAGAGTAGTCTTGTTAGGGGGCTAGTACCTCACACTTAACAGTGCTTGAAAAATGTTGCCAAGTCAGGGAGTGAACTGGTTGTCTGTAACAGAAACTTGACTTAAGTGCTTACCAGCCAGGGGAGGTTTCTTACCACAAAACAAGAAATCTGGAGACAACCCTGGGATTTCCACAGTATCTCCCTGGTTTCAGAGTACGTCAGGCTCCTTCGAGTCATTGGCTCAACTGTCCTTGATCTGTGACTTTGTCTTCCTCCTCTAAACATGGGTGCTCCCCCTCTGGGCATTATATCCCATTCTAGAAAATGGTAACAGGATGGGTAAAGGGCAAAAAATCAAAGAGATGCATGCCAACTCAGTCTTCCCCTTCAATAGTCTTTCTGGAAAGCAACAACCAGCACCTTCTGCTTGCTTTTTATTGGCCAGGCCCATGTCACGGCAATGATCCCCAAAGGCAAGGCAGCCTGAAATACTAAGTATTTTAAGCCAGAACCTTATCTGCAACAATGTCAGGGTTCTGTCAGCAAGGGAGAAGGGAATGCAGTTTCTGCCATACTTGTTGAATAAATGAACACATGAATCACTCTTAACTCATGAGAAGAACTATAAAAATAGCCATTCAAATCTATAAGAAAACAAACAACCCAGTTTAAAATAAGCAAAAGATCAGAACGTCACCAAAAGTAGACATGGCGATATACAGATGGCAAGTAAGCATATGCTCAATATTATATGTCAGAAAACTGAAAATTAAAACAATTACTACCTTCTAGAATAGCTGAAGTCCAAAAAATAATACCAAATGCTGGCGAGGATGTGGAGCAAACGCTCATTCAATGCTGGCAGAAATGCAAAATGGTATAGCTACTTTGGGAAACAGTGACAGTCTTTCACAAAGCTAAGCAAAGTCTTACCATATGATCTAGTCATCACACTCCCTGTTATTTACCAAAATGAGGTGAGAACTTATGTCCAAACAAAAACCTGCATCCAAATGTTTATTTATAATCACCAAACACTGGAAGCATCCCTGACTGGTGTGGCTCAGTTGGTTTGCATCCTGCAAAGGTCTCAGGTTTGATTCCCACAGGGGCACATGCCTAGGTTTCAGGTTTGGTGTTCCCCGATTCGTGGTCCCTGGTTGGGGCTCATATGAGAGGCAGCTGATGGATGTTTCTTTCACACATCGATGTTTCTCTCCCTCTCTTTCTCCCTCTCTTACCCTCTCTCTAAAAATAAATAAATAAAATTTTTTAAAAAAATACACTGGAAGCAACCAAAATGTCCTTTAGTAGGTTAATAGATAAACTGTGATATATCCAGACAATGGGATTTCATTCAATGATACAAAGAAATGAGCTAGCAAGCCAGGAAAAGACATGGAAGAACTTGAGATCTGCATCATGCTAAGTGACAGAAGCCAGTCTGAAAAGGTTCCATACTGTGTGTTTCCAAGTATATGACATTCTGAAAAAGACAGAAGTTTGGAGATAGTAAAAAAGACCAGTGGTTGCTAGGGGTTAAGGGAAGGGTGGGGTGAGTAGGCAGAGCACAGAAGGGTTTTTAGGGCAATAAAACTATGCTATAGGACAGTGTAATGGTGGACACATGTCATTACATAGTTGTCAAAATCAATAACACAAAAGTGAACCTTAATGGAAACTGTGGGCTTCAGTTAATAAAATATGTCAGTATTGGTTTATTAACTCTAACCACGGTAATGGAAGATGCTAAGATAGGAGAAACTGTGAGGGGTAGAGGGGTGGCGTGGGGGAGTGTATTATACTCTATGTACTATCTGCTCAATTTTTCTGTAAGTCAAAAACTATATTACAAAATAAAACCTGTTAATCATTAAAAACAGTAGAAACCATAGTTAAGGTAACAAAGTTAACAAAGAGAAAAATATTTGGAGGGGTCGACTTTATGGACCTTTAATGCATTCACGGACAAGTTCTATTCCCTTCCATTATTGCTAAATCTTAAAAAATTCTTCATTACGTGTATATTTGTTTTATTTTGAGGGGAGTTCCTCTAACTTTTATATTGTAAGTTTTCAAATGTGAAGAAAAATGGTACGACGAGCACCTACATGCCTTCTGCCCAGACTGCCCAGTCATCGGTGCACTGCAACATTTGTCTGCCCCCCTCCCCCGCTCTTCATCACAGCCTCCCCACCCCTCAGCACAGAGAACAGGTACCTCTGACTTGTCAAGACTTCAGTATTCATTTTGTTTTTCCCTTTCCTGTAAATATGTGTCCAACCTTGTATATAATGCCCTTGTCCCCATGAACTGCTGTCATGCTGAAGTAGAAAAATTAAATTTGAGAACAAGGGAGGTGGTGATCTGGCATCATGCTAAAGAGAATTTTGATGACACAAGACAATCCATCATTTGTGTTCCATGAAACGATGTGTTTCACGGAAACACAATCATTTGAAGCACAATCAATGAAGCACATGGTCCTAGACCCACCGTCAAGCTGAGTGTGTGCTGTCTGCTGTCATTACTGTATAACTGAAAAAGCTGTCAAGCATATTCCTAATAAGATCTTCCCTTTAAATGTGCCATTTTTATTTCTCTTTACTCTTGCCTGGTCAAAATCTTGGGTAAATTCCCAAAATTAAAATGTAGGCAGTTTTAGTGTCATCTTTACTTTGAGTTGAATAAATATAATAGTGATGACACAGTGACTTTTTCAACACACTTTATAAATTAGATACTTGCTCGATGATTTGCCTAAGTTCTATCATTACTAAGTCATTAGTGGAAAAACAATTGTCATTCTCTTTACTTAATAGCCTGTCATCTTACATAAAAATTACAAACTGTTTTGCATTAGGAAGTGATTCAGTCTCACTTTGGGGAAGCTAAAGAACAAGAGTGTTTGCTAATTAAATGAAGATTTCTTATATATTCTAATATGTAAGAAATCAAATTATAAAGCATAATAATTGTCATCATTTTTGACATATTCCCTTGTACTAGTTCTTACAATGCAGTGAAATAATGACTACAAATACCAATGCTCAAGAATTAATTTAGCTTCATGCATAAATCTTTATAAACAAGCTTTACCAACTAGAGCTTCTTTTGAAGGATAGTATCTATTTTTATCTTGACACTAAAGTGAAATAACACATCGATATACCCAAATCTCACAACAGTTAGATCTTCCCAGAAAAATAAGAAACTTTATCTTAAAATGGAATCTGAACCCAATTGTTTCATGAGATTAGGGCAGCATATTGTTGTTAAGTGAGGACAATGATGGGAAGATGAAAATAACATGTATTGAGAATTCACTATGCAGTATGGTGACTTTATTTAATGTTCATAATATCTATAGATAAACAGTATTATGTCCATTTTACAGATAAGGCACAGAGAAATTACATTATCCACCCAGGGTTCCCCAGACTATGTGATATTTTCATGGGAAAGCTGTATTTCCAACGAACCTGGGTAGTAGTGAAAGCCACACAGCAGCCAGATGTTGACACCATAACCAGTACTTTCTCGAGTCTATTCCTACTCCCTGCCACCACCTTTCCTATCACCTCTCCCCAAGTTGAAGTCACTGTCATCACCTTCTGTGCTGTGACAATATTTTTAGCACATTTCCCTTGGCTTCACTCCCCTTTAACCCATCTTCACACTATTTTATGGGTGACTTTTAAAACATACTTCTGCTTGTACCTCTCTGCTGCTCAAAACCATTTACAGGTACCCCATTGTCTACAAGATAAGTCAAATAAAGCCTTTCGTTATTATCTGTCTCCAGCCATTTTTCCTAAAGCATCCTGCCCCATTCACATTCTCCCTATGTGCCTGAGCATTTTCTGTCTGAATACCCTGCCCTCCTTCACCTGGGAGGTTCCCCTTCCTCAACACTGCCTCTTGAGCCTTCCTGCACAGTTCTTTGCGCCCACCTCTGTGCTCTCATAGCACTTCTTCACCAGCCTTACCTACAACAGTTATGTCATTGTCCCTCACCACATGGGAAATCCTAGAAGGCAGGGACTGTTGTGTATTCATCTGGAATCCCTGACTCCTAACACATCCTAGGCACACAGTTAATATTTTGTGAATGGATTTTCAAGACATTATAGGAATAACTAATACCCAAGTGCTCCAAAAAGCACTTGAAGACAGAGGTCTCCAAGCCATCAGACTTGGAAATTTCCATGGGGATCATGTGGGAAACAGGTTTCCATCCCCACAGA